TTTTCTTCACAGACGCTGCCAGACCTGCTGAGCATTTCCAGCAACTTCTGTTTTTGTTCCTGATTTACAGCATCTGCAGTTCTTTTGGTTTTTATTTAATATTTAAATAATATTTATGTATTTGTATTTTTCCAAATACATTCTTTTAGAGACACTTTGCTATTTTCAGGATTCAGGATCTTAGGTCTGCCATCAAGATAGAGAGCAAATGCTAATTAAAATATGGGATGATGTTGGAGGGAATGTGAACTATCACAGAATTGTAGCTAAGTGAGGGCATCTAGTGGCAGAAATTCAGTTCTACAGCAGTTTTAAAAAGAATTTCTCAACTAACTAAACAAAAATCACTTTGGGGGGCTGCAAATATGAAATAAAAACAGCAAATGCAGCAAACATTTAGCACTTCAGGAGAGGAGAAAGGATAAAAGTTTAGGTCATTTCAGCTAAGTGACTCTATATTTTAACTGAGATTTAAAATTTTTAATGTACAGTCAAAAAATCAGAACGCAACTTCTGCCGAAGTTAGTCATGCATTTTGCAAAAGCCTTATGAGTGAAATGATTATACACCAGGACTGTTCACATAACCCCCACCTTTGTTATCCCATTGATTCATGGGTACAGCTCTACAAATACTAGCAGGTCTTCAATACATTCCTCAAATGACCCTTCTTTATATGTCCAATGAGTCACTTTGTGTCAAGTCATTTTGTCTTGAAGGCATTGTGAGCAAGCTGCATGGCTATCAATAATCAGAAGTGTGCAATTTCCAACGTGGGGTAACTGAGCAGCAAATATAAGTGATAGCCTTCACTAATAGCTTTGGAAGCATGTTTACAAACTGTATGAAAGTACCCATTTCAAAGAGAAAGCAGTAAGGCAGATGGATTTGATAGCACTTATCTCCCTGTCATTGCTACCTATTGGGGTAATGGACATTCTTATCTCTGTACTGAGGTCTTACAAACATTGATTGTACTGGAAATAAAAATAATTTCAGAGCCAAGGAACAAACAAGGAAAGGAATATCACCAGCTATTTCATCGTCTTACCACCCACATCTGATCTAGAACAGATGAGGAGAGTTGGCCATTCAGTCCATCAAGGCTATCCTGCTATTCAATACAATTTGTGGCTGACCAAACACTTCAATGCCTTTTATCCACCCCATCCCCATAACCCTGTACACCATTGGTAATCAGAAATCTATGTCTACTGTAAGCATACTCAAAGACTGAGCATCCACAGCCATTAAGGTTCACAACCCCTTGAGTAAAATAATTACTTCTCATTTCAAACCGAATTGGCATTCCCCCGTATTACTAAATTGGGCCTGCTGATTCCAACCAGGAGAAACATCTATGCTGTCTACATCTTTTAAATATTTTCTAAGTTTCAATGAGATCATGTCTCATTTTCCAAAACTTGATAGAATACAAGCCCGGTTTGCCCAATCTCTCTTCACAAGACAGTATCATCAGCCTGGGAACAAGTAGGGTGAACCTTTACTACACTCCCTCAATGGTAATAATATTTTTTCTGAGATAAGACGACCTAAACTGCGCAAGGTACTGCAGTTGTGGTTTCCGACATAAATGTCATTAGCTGCTTCAGCTAATCAGTGTCCATTATTTATGTAGGTATATCGATGATTTAGATTTGCACAAGGTGAGGCAATTACTCACAGCAAATATGTTGGAACGTCGTTTAGACTGTTTGCGAACAGGAGTTGGAGTGTTGGCAGTTTGAGGAATGTCAATTCGCAGCTCCTTTTGACTTGTACTTGGTGTGGAAGGGACAGAAGAAGAATAATCACTCAAACTTCCTCCACCATTGCTTGTCTACAAAGCAGAGAAGAAATCAATTAAAAATTGGCAGAAAACTGCCTGGTTTCACTTAAGACATATGCAAGTCACACTCCTGTCAGCTATGGACCACTGGCCTCAGGAAGGTTGTGGGTTCCACTTCCACTTCAGGGACTTGGGCACATATTCCAGGCCAGTCTTCCAGCCTAGTACCAAGAGAGTGCTGGCTTTCAGATAAGATGTCTACTCAGGTGGGATCCTGCCGTGCATCCTTTCAGAATGGCTTCACCAGTAAGCGTACTTACACACTAAGAAACAACAATAAAAAATTCTGGAGATATTCAGCAGAGTCAAACAGCACTGAAGGGCAGGGGCCGGGGTGAAGAGAGAGAGAAAAAGAGAGAGAGAGAGAGAGAGAAAGAGAGAGAGAGACTTGATGCATTTGGCAAGATAACCCTTCATCAGAATTGGTCATCAGGACAGTAAATACATGGTTTGGCAATTCAGCTTTTTCTCCCCTATGGGTAATGAACTCATCTGCCACAACACCACTGGCACATTAAAATAGCAAACATGGAAACAGTGCTGGGATCAAAATTTGAACCTTGTTTGCCTCTCATACTTTTGAAACTTTCCTTAAATCTGTGGCCCCTAGTTATCAATACATTAGTCATTGGAACCAGTTCTGTTATATTTGGAAACCCTTCATGATTTTAAACACTCAGTAAGGTGTAGCTTCCCACTGAGCTATTCTGGACAGCATAGCTAGAGTGTAATAAATTTTCCAGTGTGATTCCTCTCATTCCAAAGTGGAGGAATTATGAATAACTTCAAATTTGGTTTGATTTATTACTGTCACGTGTACCAAGATACAGTGAAAAGTATTGGTTTGCGTGCTAACCAGACAAATCATACCTTAAATAAGTACATCAGGGTAATGGAACAGAATGCAGAATATAGAGTTAAAGCTACAGACAAGGTGCAGAGAAAGATCAACTGTAATACACGAGAGGCCTGTTCATAAGTCTGATAACAGCGGGGAAGAAGCTGTTCTTAAATCTGTTGGTATTTCTAGGTTGTGTGTATTGTGAAGAGAAGAACGGGTTTTAATTTTATTTTTGGATTCTGCGAGTGGTGTAGGGTTTGTTGATGTATGCATTTTTAATGTGGGTTTACAACCTTAGAATGGAGCTTGAGGTGAACAATCCAGTGCATTAAACGCATGGGTAGAATAAACCTTGCTGTTGCCAGCAACAAGAATCAAATGTCTCAGAGAATAGAACATTTTAAAAGTCAGGCAATGTGTGAAGGTTCAGCAAGAGCGAAAAGGTGCATTTTGTGTGGTGGCCTCCAAAATAGTCAGGACCGTTTCCAGTTAGGGAAAATGGCTTGAGCGGCTTTGCAACAAAAACTCAAGAAGCAGAGAATGGCTGGAAGCTGAGGGTTTGGAAAGCAAATATGTTTTCTCTGAGACTGTGTTTTGAGGTCAATAAGAAGAAAGCTTGTGAAACCAATTGCAGCTATTTCTATTCCTAGGGTGGAGGTAGCTATTACAAGGGGTCTAAGTTTTAAAGTGAGTGGAGGTGGATTTAGGGGAGACGTCAGAGGTAGGTTCTTTACTCGGAGAGTGGTAGGGGCGTGGAATGCATTGCCAGAGAGGATAGTGGAGTCGGCCTCATTAGGGGCATTTAAGCAGCTATTAGATAGGCATATGGATGATAGTATAAAAGGTAGGGGTGGAGGTCCGAGATATTGTCCCGAACTTTTACCCTAAACCTAAGGTCTATCTAACATAGAATATAGAACATAGAACATTACAGCACAGTACAGGCCCTTTGGCCCTCGATGTTGTGCCGACCTGTGAAACCAATCTGAAGCCCATCTAACCTAAACTATTCCATTATCATCCATATGTTTATCCAATGACCATTTAAATGCCTGCCAACTTTAAGGGCATTTAAATGGTCATTGGATAAACATATGGATGATAATGCAATAGTTTAGGTTAGATGGGCTTCAGATTGGTTTCACAGGTCGGCGTAACATCGAGGGCCGAAGGGCCTGTACTGTGCTGTAATGTTCTATGTTAGATAGACCTTAGGTTTAGGGTAAAAGTTCGGGACAATATCTTGGGCCAAAGGGCCTGTACTGTGCTGTGCTGTACTGTTCTATGTTCTGTGTGTGTTTAAATTCTAGAAAGGCAGCTGATCTGTACAAAATGGGAAGCCTGTCATTGCACTGACTGTTTCTTTCAATATGCTTCCCAGACTCATTCCGCTTTTTCTGAATCCGTCCTCACTCATGTACCTGGCTGATGTGAACAGCAGAGACTTGTGCAGAGCACACCGACGAATGGCTCGGGGAATTGGGCAGCGACTTGCATGGTCCAATGGAGAGCTGCTGCTTCTTTCGCGTGGCCACTATCTTTTGGGCAACTGTTAAAATAAGGGAGAAGAAATCGGGTTAAGCTGCATCATTTCAGTTGTTTTGATCCTTTCTATCCAAAGACTTGAGCAGACAGTCCTAGTGCTGTACTAACGGAGTGCCGTACTGCCAGAGGTGCCATCAATCAGATGAGACATCAAACAAAAGACTCGTGTGCTCTCCATAGTGGAAGTTAAAAGATCCCATGCACTATTTTGGAAGGCAGAACAGTAACAGAATCAACTCCGGTATCTGATTATTTTACATAGTTGTTTGAGAGATCTTGCTGCGCACAGATTGACTGCTGCATTTCTTTCAAGTGATACACTTCAAAATGAAAATTCAGGGGCAGCAGATTTGCTCAGTGGTTAGCACTGCTGCCTCACAGCAACCAAGGATCCGGGTTTAATTCCACCCTCAGGCGACTGTCTATGTGGAGTTTGCATGTTCTCCCTGTGCCTGCATGGGTTTCCACCGAGTGCTCTGGTTTCCTCCTGCAGTCCAAAGATGCGCAGGTTAGGTGGATTGGTTATGCTAAATTGCCCATAAAGTTCAGGGATGTGTTGATTAGGTGTGTTAGCCATGGGGAATGCAGGATTACAGGGAAAGGGTAGGGGGATGGGTCTGGGTGGGCTGCTCTTTGGAGGGTCATTGTGGATCTGTTGGGTCAAAAGGTCTGTTTCCACACTGTAGGGATTCTACGATGATGACTTTGAAGTGCTGTGAAGCATTATGTGTCATTAAAGCAGAAATGTACATCTATCTTCCATTTTGGAATTATCCACCAGTGACAGACTGCAAAAGCAACCATGCTATTCCCCTTCCCGCCTCTCTCTCCTCCCCACTCCCAAATACAGAGCACCTCTCTGAGAAAGGTGTAATTAATGTAATCACAATGCAAGAAAATAAACCTAGGATTTAAACATAAACTGATGCTCAGCCTTACTTGGATCAGATTTGAAACATAAAAACATACAATTCAAGAATATTCCACTTCATAATTCCTACAGAAAATGTGAAATTTTAGCTCAACCTAGGTATGTACATGTCACATGGCAAGGCTGGCAATTAATGTCCACCCCTAACTAGTCTTGAGGTGTGCTGGAAATTTACTCCGGCAAACTGCCACATCCAGTTGAGCTGTAGGAGGAGGATTGGGGCATGCTGCTACCTCCCAAAAATACACTTGTCCAGGTCCGTTGTGGGTGTGCAAAAACAACTTCAGTATTGAATCCCAACTCAAAAAAGTTTTTTTTTGGTCCAAAATGATGGGGCATCTTTAACTTTCTCTAACCCTATAAAAACCAGTGTTTCCACTAAACTTTGCATTCTTGAAATGTGTGTGCAGGACAGCTGGCTCCATCAACAAGGGTGTCAGTGGTATAAAAAAAAAGAGTCTGTACACCTAAATAAATTTTCCTTGTACTGCAGAAAAAAACGAGAGGGTACAATATCTACAAACCTCGTGATCTCAACATTCTTTCGACAATGGCCGCTACGTCCCCAATTTTGATTGCTCCACCATTGACAGTTGTGACTTTGGACTTCTACATCCCAAATTCTAGAATTCCCTCTGCAGACCTCCTTAGCTCACTTTCAGTCCTGACCTCCTCATCCAATCTTTTGGTCACCTCTCCTAATTATCTTGATGTTGCTCTGTGCTAGATTTTCATGCAACTACACTCCAGTGGATCACCTTGGGTAATGGTAAAGATACTAAATAAATATAAGCTGCCGTTGCTCAGTAAATCTGGCCCCTTGTAATGATGATGGAATCACTGTACCCATTACACAGATTTGCAATTCGTGCTCTATAAATCAATTGAGTTTTTTTGTTGAAATCTTGCCTTTGGCAAGCAACAGTTCTCAGATTCTCCCAATACTAATTTTGACCTGTGCACTAGGTCAATTCAGACACATGTAAGATGATTTGCTTTTTAATATTTCACCATTTTATTGAAAGAGCTTAATCCTTGTTTGCAGCCTCAACAGTAAAACCGTAGTCACGGATTAGATGCATATGAAAACTGCAGGACCCACCCATATCCCATCACTCTATGTTGCACAGCCTCCTCATGGACCATCTGGTACAGCTCATGCTGCCAACAATTAAAGGCAGCATTTGTTCCAACGCCTGGAGTATGTGAAGCACTGTGGTTCACCACGTTCATTGTGGAGCACATTAACAGTTGCGGCATTGCTCCTATCAGCATCTGGTTAAGCACTGGATTAATAGAATTGAGAAGCCAATTTTGCTTTTCTTTGAATTAAACATTTGGCACAGTCAACCACCATTTTAAAATAAATTTGAAGATATATTCTGAAAGTGTTGATTTGTGTTGAGAGGACAAACAGAAAACAATTCAAAGAAATAGAGAGTCAGGAAAATCTGTGGGGACAGGGTGGATGGAAACTGAGATATACTGGGGGAGAGCAAGGACAAACTGGATAAAAGATTGGGGAGAAATTAAGAGAAGAAGGGGAAAATCTACTAGAGAATCAGGAGTAACTGGGAGAAACTGATGTTTGAAGTTTCAAGCTGAGTTGTCAGGTCCCCTACACTTCAGAAATACCTTGCCACGTTTTGACGGAGAGCATTATAGGACACCTGAGCAATGTAGAGGTTCTGCAGTAGCCTATCTTGTTTAATGACACATTTACACCTCAGTTTTCATGAAAACCTTTACAGAGAACTGAACACTAAAAGTTTAAATTTACACTTGTTAGTGCTCTTCTAAGTTTACCATGACAGAGCTGCACAAATCAATTAGTCACACCATCATTCAGACCATTGATTGAAGCTCAATTCACAGGCAATTTAAATAATTCAACAGACAATCTCAATACTGTTGTCACTGTTGAATCATTTGTTTATTGATGAAACAAGGTTCTCAAGAGAACATTAAAAGAAATCTCGTTACAAAAGGGAATTGACGACAGTCACTGACAGGAAGGAAAAAGTTTGCTGCTTCTGTTTTTCCCACAGTTGATGTTACTGACACTTGAGGCTGAAATTTCAGGTCAAATGGAGCTAGGCAGTGGAATGAAAGTATCAGCGTTAGCCAGCATGCCAGTTTTCCAACACAGTGCCCATCACCACTGAGCTTTACCAGAGTGGGGAGTGAGTGTGACTGAACCCATTACCATGGCTACTAAGACCATTGAAGAGCTCATATAAAGTTCATTCTGATTTTGAGAGAAGTGTACAAATAGTCAAATGAGGCATATAGACAGTGGGGAGCCAGTCATGGCCAATCCAGGGATATCAGTGGGCCTCACAAAAAGGCGAAAGGTAGAATGATGAGGCAAAAGTTGGTAATTCACACACTAGAATCAGTCCAGTGCAACTGTGGGGAGAGTTGTTGGTAAGCACTTGGGCAGTGCAGGCAAGCTGCCACTTAGCTGTCAAGGGGGCATAAGGAGGAGAGGATCCTGAAAATAAGTAATGCAGTCAGACCTATGCCTTTCCTGAGACAAGTTTCCAATTGCAAATAACAATGAAACTGCAGCCCCAGTAACAGTTGCTGTGATCTGCTTACATTGCTTGCATAGTCCCATCTCCATGCCACCAAATGGGTATTACACATGTCTTCATGCCTATTAAGTGAGTACTGACATAAAACTCAGAGCTGGTATGACCACTTCAGGGGCAGATGCAGGACTGAGAAATGGTCCCTGTTTCAGTCCTTCCCACTCACTTTATTAACACAACTTATGCAGCTACTGCCATCAGAACTGGGTAGATTCTGATAGAAAGCCTGATGTTTGTTGCACACTTCATGTAAATTCAATCAAGTTTCCTTGGCTTCTATTCAATTGGAGTAACTTTCCAAGAATTTGCATTTGCTATAAATTTCTCAGAGGTGCCTTCCATAGTCCAGATTTGTAAGGAACAGTGACAGCTCTACCCCACAAGAATATTCGACTGTAACACAATATGAATTAAGAACCGAAGCTGGCCATTTGGCCCCTCAAGCCTGCTCCACTATTCAATAGGATCACGGTTGACCCAACATTCCTCATGTCCACTTTCCTGCATTTTACCCATAATCCTTGATTCTCCTACTGATCAACAATCTATCTCAGCCTTAAATATATACAAGGTCTCTGCCTCTATAGCTCTCTGTGGCAAGGGGTTCCAAAGACTGTCAATCCTCAAAGAAGACATTCCTCCTTATCTCAGTCTTAAATTGATGCCCCTTAATTCTGAGATGCTCTTTAGTCCTAGAATCATTCAGTGTTCTGTTTTTAGGAAAGATTCAATGTGAGGACCAGGCCCATTTACTGTATTTATGTTTCAACTTGGGTCAATACTGCAGCTGTCTTCATTGAGCTGGCCCTGTGCTACTGCCACATAACCTCAGTCAGATGCACTGGCAATTCTGTGTGTTTGTCAGTGAGTAGTGCTGTGTCTTTTTTTTAGTCGTATTGTCTTTAGCAGAAATGCTTTTAAAGGTTTGGATTTACTGAAACTCTTGCTCCCTCCCCATGTTAAATGGCAAAGAAATACAAATTATTCATTAAATGAACCTCTCCCACACATGGTGATGTATGGTGCAGTTCCAATACAATATGCAAGACATGTGCATGCCTATGATCTCCCATTTACATTAAAATGTCATCCAAGGAGAGCAGGTACCATCTCCTAGAGCTAGGGCAAATATTCAAACTCTATTCTCGCATCCTCTAAAGAACAACTACAGAGAAGAAAATGCTAGGGAAACTCAGCATCTGTGGAGAGAGAAACAAACTTAAAAGTTGAGAGTCTGGTATGGCTGTTCTTCAGAATGGAAAGGCATTAAAAGTGGGCTTTTTTTATACTTTTGATGTGCATTTTCTCACTGCCTCTAATCTGTGCTTGCTTTTCTAGGAACAGCAGGGTTTTAGAACTCATTTGTACTGGGAGCAGCAACGCTGGGTGATCTTCTGCTACAACTTGAAGTCAAAATCAAAACTCCTGAACTGAAGCTTCCTTTGTGGGTTTTTGCAGCATTTCCTCAGCACACCCCAG